CAGCAGGAATTTCCTCATGGAAAGGGCTGGAAGGGGCTGCCCAGGGGGGTTTGGAGCGCCCATCCCTGGAGGGTTATCTCACAGCCCCATTGGTTATCTCACAGCCCCATTGGTTATTTCACAGCCCCGCTGGTTATTTCACAGCCCCATTGGTTATTTCACAGCCCTGTTGCTTATTTCACAGCCCCATTGGTTATCTCACAGCCCCATTGGTTATTTCACAGCCCCGTTGGTTATTTCACAGCCCCGTTGGTTATTTCACTGCCCTGTTGGTTATTTCACAGCCCCGTTGGTTATTTCACAGCCCTGTTGGTTATTTCACAGCCCCATTGGTTATTTCACAGCCCTGTTGGTTATTTCACAGCCCCATTGGTGATTTCACAGCCCCGTTGGTTATCTCACAGCCCCATTGGTTATCTCACAGCCCTGTTGGTTATTTCACAGCCCTGTTGGCCCTGTGACTGGGTGGGGATCAGGCACAGGTCGGAATTGATGATCCTGGAGGGCTTTTCACAATTCCAGGATCCTGTGAAGCACCAAATATAAAATCACACTGCCCAACACCAAAACTGCCTGGCACCCACAGCTCTGAGCACCCAGCACATGCAGAAACCCCAGAATTTTTCATTTAAGTCTCTGAGCATGGTTTGTTTTCAGTCTCAGCTGGTGCTGCACGCAAGTCCCACAGATCTTTCCATATTATTTCGCCCCTCCACTTCCACAAGGGAATTAAACCTTGGCAGGCAGGGGATTTGTATCATTTCAGCAGAGATCTCTGGGTGCAGCATCAGCCTTTTGCTTGTGTGCCTGGGATTAGCAAGACATTGCTGAGATCATCATATACATGTTCCACAGCCAGGACAGCTTTTGGTATCAAACAAGTAAAAAACCCAGGAGAGCTGCAGCGAGCAGCCCTTTAGAAAGGACCCTGTGTTTGTTTGAGAGGTAGTTCTGAAGATGGTCATCATTGCAAAGAAGTTCTGCAACTGCTTAAAAAGTTTTCAGCTGCAAGAGGTAAAAAAGATTGTAAGCAATCACTCACTCTTCCACAAATTTATATTAAATCTGTCCTATTAATCTGCTGTGAATTCTTGAGTCAACCAGGATTTCCATCCCAGCAGGCTGGGAGGATAAAAACCCCAGGGAGGTGTGTTTGTTCTAGCCAGAAAATCTCTACATTTAGGTTTCATTCTTTCAGATGTGCTGCTCATGCATTGTCATTGATTTCTATAAAAATATTGCTGAGCCAAAGAGCTGGAACTGCAGCCAAAGAACATTTGTTGTTTGCACCTCTCACAGGGCATAAAACACTCTTAAAGAGCATTTTAGAACAGGTTTGGGTGATTTTAGAAATGCAGTGCCTGATTTGCTGTAAACACCAGAGATTTGCATGTGCTCTATGTAACTTCTGAGGAGAACAAGACTGAGGTGCCAGTGCTGGCAGCTCAACAAAGCAAAGCTCCCTCACAAATAAAAACTGCTTTTTATCTACTCAGACATATTAAATTTTAGGCCAATTCCAACATCCTCAGCAGCAGCACAGCTAATGATGTGCTGGTTTCTGGTGATTTCAGAGCTCACCAGGGTTTGGTTTCCTAAAAACAAGTGTGACTTTGAGGTTTGGCCATATCTGGTGAGCACAGGCACTGAAGCTTTGCCCAACCCTGATAAATGACAGTGACACAGCCCAGGGTCCCCCACATGGGGCTTGGACAAGTCCTGATCCCTTTCACAGGGAACTGAACCACTCCAGGGTGTGTTTAAATGATTCCTCACAGGATATTTATCCTCACAGGATATTTATTGGCTCCAGGGTCTGCAGGGATGATTCCTCACAGGATATTTATTGGCTCTCCCACTTTGGAAATTCTGCATCAAACAATTCACCAAAAGCAAATGTTTTATGAAGAAATCGGGGATTAGTGATTGGAAATAAGACCCCAATATTCTCAGCTGTGTCTCCTGGGTTAGGAAGAAGTTTCCAGCCCAGTAAATCTGCTGAGGCTGCTTTTCCTTCTCACCCAAATTAGCAATTCACTTAACTACATATTTGATTTTCAAATATGGCAGTAGCAAGTAAGGAAGAGCAAGTCTTAAACAAACACCATGTGCAGTCAGGGCAGTCAGGGCATGCTGAACACATTTTCTAGATGAAAAGCCACAGTTTTGCCAGTTAATTGCTTTTTCTGCAGCTTCACAGCCCCAGCCTTAAGCAAAATTACTCATTGTGCCACAGGAGGAGTTCCCTCAGAGCCACCTCTTCCCACAAGTCACAGAATTATCAATATTATTCTAAATTTTTTATAGATAGAATGGTTTTGTACCAGGACCCTGCTGTGTGTTCCTGAGCCCTGAGCAGCACCCAGGACACCACCACTGCTCCTTCTGCCAGGCTCCAGCACCACCTTTTCTTCTCTGTAAAATCCTTTTCCATGCATTCTGAAAATTCCCTTCTCCTCTCTCACCTGCTGTGTTTTGTTATAAAGAAATGTAAAGGGCAGAAAAGGAAGAAGAAGATTTCTGAAAATGTGCCAGATCTGTTAGAGATTCTACTAAAATCAAAGGCATCTTCTGCCACTTCCCTCCAAAATCCACTTCCCTGGTTCTTCATTCAAATAAAACTCCACTCAGCCTAGCAAAATTAAAAATCCCAGCCATGTGTTGTTGTGAGTGACCCAGGGCAGCCCATCCACGCTGCTTGCTGCAGGATAAGGGCCAGACTGTTATTTTAATATCATTACTAAGCTCACTGAATTGACACTTGCTCAACAAAACAACTCAGAAGAGCTCCACACATGAGAACTTCCATTTCAGCTCCTCAGTTTAAAGCCCTTTGGAGCTCTGGCTGAGTCTTTTTGAGGTTTTTTTGCAGGGTGTAATGACCCAGAGGGGGCAGAGCAGCCCCATCTCCTCAGAGGAAGGGTCTCCTACTGAACATTTGCTCATTTATCCTTAAAATCACCCTGGTTACTCCTTTGTTTGCATAGTGAGAGTCTCCTTCTTTGAGCATTCAAAACCTGCTGTGGAGAAAGTGATTACATTTCAAACCTTCTGTTCCTAAAAGCTCTAAATTGCATTTAAAGTCCTGCTCAGGCACCTGGCAAGGGATCAGATGGTTCTGGGGATGGACCTGAGCCATGGGAGGCTGCAAGGAACAACCCCAACAAGCTGTGCTGTGCTTGTGACAGGTCACACCACCCTGGCATGCTCTGGGGAGATAAAGGAAGAGGAAATACAAGCTCATGGAGTTCAAGAATGAAAAAATGTAGGCACCCAAAGGCCTGAAGGAAGGCAATTAGAAACAAAGCAGCTCTTCCCATTAAATATTTCCATTTGGATCAGCCAGTTCTTGCACCTTATCAGCCTTTCCTGGTTATGTTTCCAGAGATTTTGTTGGGATTTCAGAGCACACTCCCAATTATTAATGTGTGTTTCCCCACCCTCCCTCATTTTCCAGTCACAGCCCTGGGCCTGAAAAAGTTCTACTTGTCTGACAGGGGTGGCATGTTTGCATTTTTATTAAAAGAGCTTCATGTAATTCAATGGAATTCACTCTACACAAAGAGATAATTTTTTGCAATTATCAGAATCTCAAACATGGATATAAACCAGATCTTGAAGTTCAACATTTTTGTTTTAGAAACACAGGAAAAACAAAGAAACACACCTGGCAGAACTGATGATGGAAATCTGAGCTCCAAAGAAACAGCGAATTCAATCATTACCTGAACAAACTGGCCCACACTTGTGATGGAGCAGGCCTGATCCCAAATTCCCCTACAAGCTTTCCATAGATTTTTAGGGGGAAATAGCAAGTGTTACAGAAATTAACAGTTTTATTTAGATATATCCTGTGTTTCGTGGCATTTCATTTTTTCATGGTTGCATTGAAATTTTATCATCTGAATATTTTCTTTTCCAATAACAAATTCCTTTGGTATCTACATCCCATCACAGTTTTTAAAATCCCAGGACAGAAAAGGGAAAAGCAACGCAGAGAAATAAAATTCTTCAAACTTAAGCAATTTGCAAATAACTTCCTAATGCATTACATTAATGCATTTGTGCTTTTGACAAGAGATTTAAAAACTTTCCCCTGGAACAGAAAGAGTTCAGCTGGAGACAACTAAAAACATGGAGTTTAAATCAAGTTCCTTTCCTGCCTTAAGCAAAAGAACCTGTTGAACCATAATAAATGGTTTGATTTCTAAACCAGCATTTTTAAACAGCACATCAGCCAAAGTGTCTCTGAACTCCCCAGCTGAGTGGGGTATGCACCAGGTGTGAGTGAAGCAACTGGATAAAATCAGCCCTTTGATGTGCACATTTCTGACTGACCTTCCAATATTCCACACTGAGCCCCTAACACAGAGTAAATCCATTCAAACCCTCTCATTTCATTTCCTCCCAGGGCATGAACAGACAGTGAACACACACGGGGTATCCTGGGAACCCAGCACTCCCCACTAGCTGACCAGTTTGGGGAGCACAGTACACAGAGGGATGCTGCCACTGGGCTCAGTGGCCAGACTGGCCCTCAGCTTGCTGGGGACTGCAGCCACAGGAGGCAGCTTGTTAGCAATTCCTTGGAAGGAACCTGAATAGCTGGAAATCCTCCTGCCGGAGCTTTTCTCCAAGGCGGCCGCTTTGGGCACCCGTTTGCAGATCCAGGGGTGCCGCAGGGCCTGGCTGGGAATCATGCGTGCGGAGGGATCCCAGCTGAGGCAGTCCTTGAGGAAACCAGTGAACAAGGGGTCGTCACAGCCCTTCAGAGCTGTCACCCAGTCCTTGTTCCCCGGGGCACCCCTGACCTTGCCCCGGCGCGAGCGGCTCCCGCTCAGGGTCACCTTCCCGTCGGGCTGCGTCAGCACCGTGCAGTAACGGGGGTGACCCTTGGAGTTGATGAAGTTCTTGGCTCGTTTGGATTGATCCAAAAGCTTCTGAGGTGGCATTCCAAGAAGTTCCATGATACAGGCCAGCTGGTCTGCCTCGTCCTCTCCAGGGAAAAGAGGGTAGCCAGTCAAAAGCTCCACCAGAATGCAGCCAAAACTCCACATGTCTATGGGCATCCCATAGCGGCTCCCCAGGATCACCTCTGGCGCCCGATAAAACCGGGACTGGATGTAGGTGTAGACTCTTTGGTGCTCAAAACAGCTGGACCCAAAATCTATAACCTTGATTCCACTCCTCCCTTGCTGTTTTAGGAGGATATTTTCTGGCTTCAAGTCACAGTGGATGATTCTGTTTCTATAAAGGGCATCCAAACACTGCAGGATGGAGTGAGCGAACTTTCGAACCAACTGGAGGCTGAACCCCTGAAATTTATTCCTTTTAATCAGCTCATACAGGTTCATACTCAAGAGTTCAAAGGTCATGCAGATGTGGTTCCGAAAGGTGAAGCTCTCCAGCATGTGGATCACATTCATGCTGCCTGTTTTATCCTGCTTCTTCAGGTGCTCCAGGATCCTGATCTCCTCGGCAGCTTGCCGATGGAACCTCTTCTCATTGCGAACCATCTTTAAGGCCAGGTGTTGGTGGAGTTTGTGATCATAGACTTTAGCAACTTGTCCAAAACTGCCTTTTCCAATGATTTTGAGCACCTCATACCTGTAGGCCAGGTGGTCGTGGGGCACGTGGATGTAGCTGCCTTGGTCGTCGTCGTAGCCGCCGTTGTTGGGGCCGCCGATCACCCCCTGCCTCTTTTTGGCAGACGGCCCCACAAAATAAATCTCAGAGAAACTGAAGATCTCCTGCTGCTCATAAGGTGACAGCAGATGTTTGAATTGTTTGACAGCTTCCTCTGGAGCTTGGGAGACAGCTTTATGTGATTTCAAGGAGCTCCCATTGCCTCTGGCGCCCAGGCTCTCTAGGCTTTTCTCTTTGGACAGAGAAGGGAGAGATCTTTCTGGAGTAAGGCCTGCAGAGTGAAGAGTGCTGCTCCTTCTGTTGCCAGAGTCCTCAAATAACTGCTCCACTTTGACCTGATTTGCAGCCAGAGGGTGATCCTTCATTATTAGTTTGTTGATAGAAACCTACAAGGGAAAAAGTAGTTTAGTTTATCTTTTAAAGCACAGATTAAAAATAAAATCACCACCAACAGAAAATCGGTAACAGGGATGAGTTTGGCATTTATTAGGAACAAATATAAAATGCTGGGCTAAATGAAGTTACAAGCATAGTTATAGAAGGGTACACAAAGAGAAAGCAACTCCCTGAAACAGCACATGTGCTTTTAAATCCAGAAAGGGAAACCCTAGACAGCCAAAGACTCAAACAACCACAAAATACCCATCTCCAGCCTGTGCAGGGCCAGGGAACAGCTATGTTTAGCTTCAAACGTGGGTGCAGCAGCACAACCACCAACAGATGCAACTTGCACCTGTCTGGAGCAGGGAATGGAACGTGGATGTGCAG